AGAAGTAAATGCGAGGGTCTTGGCAAGAGGCGTGGAGTTAAAAGATAAAGAATCACACACAAAGTGGGAGTTTTCACAGCTGCTCTTTGCTGATGACACTGTGCTCTTGGGAGATTCTGAAGAGAAGTTGCAGAGATTGGTGGATGAATTTGGTAGGGTGTGCAAAAGAAGAAAATTAAAGGTGAATACAGGAAAGAGTAAGGTTATGAGGATAACAAAAAGATTAGGTGATGAAAGATTGAATATCAGATTGGAGGGAGAGAGTATGGAGGAGGTGAATGTATTCAGATATTTGGGAGTGGACGTGTCAGCGGATGGGTCTATGAAAGATGAGGTGAATCATAGAATTGATGAGGGGAAAAGAGTGAGTGGTGCACTTAAGAGTCTGTGGAGACAAAGAACTTTTGTCCTTGGAGGCAAAGAGGGGAATATATGAGAGTATAGTTTTACCAACGCTCTTATATGGGTGTGAAGCATGGGTGATGAATGTTGCAGCGAGGAGAAGGCTGGAGGCAGTGGAGATGTCATGTCTGAGGGCAATGTGTGGTGTGAATATAATGCAGAGAATTCGTAGTTTGGAAGTTAGGAGGAGGTGCGGGGTTACCAAAACTGTTGTCCAGAGGGCTGAGGAAGGGTTGTTGAGGTGGTTCGGACATGTAGAGAGAATGGAGCGAAACAGAATGACTTCAAGAGTGTATCAGTCTGTAGTGGAAGGAAGGCGGGGTAGGGGTCGGCCTAGGAAAGGTTGGAGAGAGGGGGTAAAGGAGGTTTTGTGTGCGAGGGGCTTGGACTTCCAGCAGGCATGCGTAAGCGTGTTTGATAGGAGTGAATGGAGACAAATGGTTTTTAATACTTGACGTGCTGTTGGAGTGTGAGCAAAGTAACATTTATGAAGGGGTTCAGGGAAACCGGCAGGCCGGACTTGAGTCCTGGAGATGGGAAGTACAGTGCCTGCACTCTGAAGGAGGGGTGTTAATGTTGCAGTTTAAAAACTGTAGTGTAAAGCACCCTTCTGGCAAGACAGTGATGGAGTGAATGATGGTGAAAGTTTTTCTTTTTCGGGCCACCCTGCCTTGGTGGGAATCGGCCGGTGTGATAATAAAAAAATAAATAAGTAATAAATGAGGGCAATTTAGGGGGCTGGAATTATTCAGGAACTCTGCACTCTTGTACACACAATATCAATGGGTTCAGTAGTTACTTTATGATGAAGGCCAGGAAATCTTTTTCAATGTGGCACAATAGTCCAACTTAAAATAGACAGTTTATACGAGTTTAGTTCCATTATAAAAGTCCAGGGATAGTATTCAGTTTCTCAGCAAAATGAAAAAAAAAAACATACTAAATAGTAAACAGAATTAATTAATATCAATATCATCAGTATTATCCTTATCCATGAATCTCTTAAGTGCACTTCTATTATGGAGGCCTTGTGGGAGTCTTTGTTTACAGAGGGCACAGTGCTCTTTGTCTGTTAATGTATGGCAGGTGATGCTATCCCTCGCACTCACCTCTCCACTTCTATTACACTCATCACTATCATCACAGGTACCACTTCCCTCATCATTATGACTAAAATTATGAACACCAGTGTTACATAGACCATTATTGACAACTGGGTCATTTCCACACTCAGGGTCTAAAAATACATTACACTCATCATTTTTACTATCATGATGGTCACCATTGCCCTTATCATCATCATTGTGATTGGAAACACCACTATTAGATTCATCATTTTTGTAATTATCAAAATCACTGCATTCATCAGCTTGCTCATCACCACACTCGTTTTCATAATGGCTGACAATCTGTGGGTTACTGTACTTGTTTGCACCCTCTAAGTTTTTCCTCAGTGCTCAAGTTGTTGTTTCAGGCATCATTGTTGCTTCTTAAGTGCTGTTATGTGCAGCTGCATGTTGTGCACCATCCGAGCAAGACTAGCTTCATCTGGAGGTATGAAGTCCCGGTCAGCTGAGCCAGCTGGCTGACTGACAGCTGACTCAGCCAGACAGGTGGTGTCAACACCAACAACATCACTAGTGTTTATAGCAGATGTGATCGTGTTCTGTTGATGTACTCCCATAGTGACCTGCTCAACCACATAGTCTGAAATCAAGCATGGGCCAGTATTCATCATTTGGGGGAGGGGGGGTGATGGGTGAGTTGGGAGTCCTGCGGCTGGTGATGTGGGCAGCTTTCACTCTGCAGTCAGCATGAGCAGCTGTGACTCCTGGAGTCTTACAATCGATACATTGTAATGCAACAGTCTGGTGTTTCTTGATCACATAGCACTAGTGAGAAGGATGGGCCCTGGCACACACTTCACACCAATGTGACAGCTGTGCATTTCCAAGCAATGTGACCCCTAAACAATAGTACAGTAGGGCCCCACTTATACGGCAGGTTAGGTTCCAGGCTACTGCTGAAAAGCAGAACACCATTTTTTCCACTTATAAATGCATATAAATGCCAGGTAACAAGTTTACACTAACATTTATTATGTTATCAATAGAACTAGGCATTAAAAACAATAAAAAGTAAAATACACACACAGTACACCCATTACTTACCTTAAAATATTTGTAGTCTTAAGGTAGGGTGAGAGGTGAATTTAATTTGTAGGAAGTCAGGTTTGGGAGGTACGGTAGCCAGGTAGGTCAGCCCACCCCACCCACACATAATATACTACATTTAATTAAAGCTATCCAGACCGATAAAATACACATACAGTACGTTTATTAATTACCTTAAAATATTTCTACTCTTAACCCTTTCAGGGTCCGTCCCGTAGATCTACGGCTTTACGTTCAGGGTCCAAGCCGTAGATCTATGTCATGAGCTCAGCTCGCTCTGATAAACTCTGAGTGGTACATTTGGGCCTAGATATGAGAGAATACATCTATGTGGTATGTGTGCACCACATAAAACAGATCCTGCAGCATGCTGTGTATAATGAGAGAAAAAAAACAAATCATGATTTTTCGATTAAAACAGCGACTTTGCAGTGTTTTTTCGTATGTTTTTTATAGTTGTATTTGCGATTTCTTGGTCTCATTTGATAGAATGGAAGACATATTACAGAAATAGAGATGATTTTGATTGGTTTTAGCACTGGAAATGGCTTGAAACTGAGCTCAAAGTAGCAGAAATGTTAAATTTTTAACGATATTCAAGAGTAAACAAACTACCTCACACGTCTAATACACGTCAGCTGGTGGGTCTAATATGCATTCACAAATATGGTGATGATATTTATACAATTATTACAGTATTGCATAACAGTAAATCTTCTATTTTTTGGTGTGAATAAAAAATCAAAATGGAATTTATTTGTAAAGCCTCAAAACATAACTAATGAACAGAGGATATGTTAGTTTAGTTCCAGGAATACCTACATTGTTTATTCTGGACCCTATTTTGAAATTGGAATATTTTGAACTTTGTGTTAAATTGGCCAAATTAACAATTTCCGATCACTTTAATTTGTAGTTGAAACAGTTGACTTGGCGATTTCTTGTGCTCAATTGATAGAATAGAAGTAATACTAGTGAAATAGCTAAGAATTTAGTTGACTGGAATAATGTAATTGGCCTAAAATGGGAGTCAAAGTCGGCAAAATCGCCGATTCGTAAATATCGCTGACACATCAAAATTCGTGAGAGCATAATTTCATCAATTTTCCATCAAATTTCGTACTTTTTGTTTTATTACCTTCACAAAAAGATTCTCTTTCATTTCATAAGAAAAAATAACAAATTTTTTTTTTTAAATTCTTGGACACTGGGGCACCACTTCAGGTTTGGGCCTTGGACCCTGAAGGGGTTAATGTAGGGTGAGAGGTGAGTTTTATATGTACGATGTCAGGTTTGTGAAGTATGGATAGTCTGTAGGGGCAGCCCTCCCCTCCCCTCCCCTCCCCACCCCACCCACACATAATGTAAACAAACCAGATGAAAGCGTCTGGTTTTCGTTATTTGACATTGTGTACAAGTTGTCTCCACGTTGATACAGTAGAATAAATAAAGAGAAACACTCCCATTCTCATGTAACGCTATTTTCAGAAGAAATGTCGCCCTGAGTGAAGGTATACGTAAGGAATAATATTCTAGTTACCCCCAGTAATATTATAGTGTACCCATTGTCTCTGATGTTGGACAAGTTGCCTGGCTACCACAAGTCCTACAAGTTGCCTGGCTACCACAAGTCCTACAAGTTGCCTGGCTACCACAAGTTCTACAAGTCACCTGGCTACCACATCTCATATTTATGTTAACCTATTCTACTGTGGGGTGTATTTAGATGGATTAAGCAAAATGTCTATATTAACGTTTTATATGATATTTAATGCTCCTCAGAATGATTATTATTGTGTGTTATTATTTTTATCATTATTAATATGGCATCTTCAAGACTAATAAGACACTCTTAGTGATTTTAATGTGTACCTGCATGCCAGCACAGTAAGTTTACCTAGGTATGAAGGTATATAGTCTGCCTGGGCTACATACTTACATAACTACACTATATTTAATGTGGCCCAGAGCCATATTATTACCATCGACATACCATGTTCACTGAGTTTAATTGTTTATAACAATTACCTTTAGATGCCATCATAAACAAAGGGAGAAGTAATGAATAATTCATGCTGAGAATTGTAAACAAAAGCATTATGTATTAAGGGGAGTGATGTAATGTTTTCCCTCCGTCCGACTACCACACCTCCATAGTATATAACTATAAAATGTTTATATGTTATGTAACGTGTTCTTTATATAATTTGGAAGAAAATATCATAGATGGATTAATGGAAATGTCTATATTAACATAAAATAAGACTAATGTGCATAAGTGATTATTATTAGTATTACGTAATTTTTCCCTCCGCCCGGCAACCACACCTCCATAGCATATAAACAGCATGTTTATATGCTATGTAATGTGTTTCTAATATATTTGAAGACAATACCATGGATGGATTAATGAAAATGTCTACACCGATGTAAAATTAGACGTTTAATGTGCCCAAGAGTGATTATTATTACATAATAGATATATGTGCTCATGGATAATGTAAACAAACAGTGCCGTATTTGAAAGACCGCTTGCCGTATAGAAAGTTTTGGTCATAATTTGAGATCACCATATTAGCAGAACGCCGTAAGGCGAAATGCTGAAAAGCGGGGCCCTATTATATGTGACTAAGGAAGGTGAAAATGTTCACCTGTCACTGTTTGTGACTATTTGAGTACTATTTAAGTACATATTAGTGTCAAAACAAAGATTGGCTATGAAATCACAAGAACTACTACAAATTGTAATTATCAAAACATAAAAATTATACAAATTAAAAAATAGAGAGAAAAAAAGGTATATTGGCAACACTTCTGCAAGCAGCAGCACTTCATGTTGCCATCAGGTGAGCAAGAAGTGCCGACTTTGCAGCCTTACATCTCCGTAAGTACTGACTCTAATTTTTCTTTTTTACATTACTTTATGGAAAAAAAGTCATCTTTATTTAAGAAAAAAACAAATTTTCTTTTCAAAATATTCAGAGTGCTGGGCGAGAGAACGTAGATCTATGTTTGGACAGTTAAGGGGTTATGGATAAAATTCTCTCAGGTCACAAGAAAACTTTATTATTATAAAAGTTACACCAACACTGATTTTAATTACAAAAGTTTTCATTATCGGTTGTCACTGCTTTTCATAATTCTTGCACACACTTTACATCATATTTTAAGTATACTTAAGTGATCTCCCTAAGCAGGAGGACATACTAGTATTAAAATTGTTAAAAAACAAAATTATATTTAAACAGTAAGAGGCTTAACAATAACAACAATCCAAAAATTTTTTGCAAGAAATTATAATTTTTTCAATGTACATACGTATATGAAGTGAATTGAAATGAGATTGGTACTATACATGTTGTATGCAGAGAATATATTGAAGTTACATACCATACAGAATGTAGAAAAGAAACTAAGAGTCAGTTTTGTAATGTAAGGAGTTCATGTGTTAACCTCTCTGCTATGAGGCCATAAAGAAAATTAAATTGTTCTTGGCAAAAATGAGCTATGACAACACAGAGAGTAGGAAAGTTAGGTAGTAGATGTGAATGTGAATGATGTACTCTGAGACCCCTGGGATTCCTAATACAAACAGTCATTTTTCATTCTTCAAAACACAGTTGTGTGCCAATAAGGTAGTGACACAATGTGGACAAACCTGTCTAAACCAGTGTATAATGACCATGAAGTGTGTACAAAAACTCAAAAGACTACATGAAAGGTTCCCAGCCAATCCAAGTTCTTCCAAGAATATTTGGGTCACTGGCTTGTTCCAAAAGAACATCTACTTGCTGGTGAGTACTCAGTCCATTATCACCCAAGTCTGCCCGCAAGTTTTCTCCTTTATTTCCAAGAACCACTTCTTCAAGGGATTTTAAAATGGTGCAGTCTCTTTTAACAGATTTACTCTGAGAAACTGCCCATTTAGTAACATGAGCAGGATTGATGCCACACAACTTTTCCTTTAGCAGCTCAATGCGATCCTTTGAAAACATTTCTACTTTACTGTCGTCAGTGTTACCTTCTTGACGTCTTACAAACCCTAACCAATCTTCTGTTGGTTCCTTCACAAATGCTTCCAAGACAGCTATGAGAACATGACGAGACTCCTGAAGAGCTCCAAGTGCTGCAACCATTATCTCTCGTAGCATACCTACTTGACCTACTGGCTGAAAGACATTAACAATTTGAGGAGTAAGTCGGAAAGGCATTAACTCTGGAACTGGAAGAAACTGCACAGCAGACTCAAAATGGTGCCCAAAATCTATACCAATCACATGGCCAGTCTTCAAATTAACTAGAGAATTGCCACAGTGGCGGTCACCAATACCAAGAAGCCAATGTGATATACATAATGTAGCATAACTAATGGCAAAAGCACTGCGCAAAGCAAAGAAACCTTCACTGCTATTTGAAAGTTTAACAAGTCCACGACGCAAAAGATCCCATGGAATTTTATTAACGGCATTCTCATAAACTTTCATAACATCCTTTTTTTTACTCTTCTTTTCAATTACCCAGTGCCCTCCTGTTTTATATATGCCAAGTGCTTCCTCATAGTGTTTTTTTTCATTATCTCTGAATGATTCATTCATAAATTCCTTTAATGGTTGAGATGATTCTACCCACTGCAAGAGTCCAACCTCCAGAGATAATGGCACAACATTGTATGTATCTAAAGAAGGCCGTGAGGTTGTGAGACAACACAGTGAAGAAGTGCAATATACACTGTTCATTAATGTAAACATCTGTTCCATTCTCTGATCAGTTCGTAGATCCTCACCCCATTTCACCAGGAACTTGTAATCTTTCTCATCATCTCCTCGAATAATGATCCTCATAGGAACACGAAGCGAAGCCATTGGCATTAGATTTTCATCAAAACTGGAGATCTTGACATGATATTCAGGTAAAGGTTTAGACATTCCAGAATACTGACCAGGTAATTCAAGCACATCACAATATTTAGAAGCTTGGAAATTTGCCAGCCATGGTGAATAATACTTTAACTGCTTTGGCAATTTTTTAAGATCATCTTGGCCATGAATCATTTTCTCTCTAATATATGATAGTGCCTTGGAAATCTCTTTGGTAGACATTGCTTTGATTTTCTTTACATTTGTTCCAAATTCCTTGTCAAATACTGCAGCTGCATCTTTCCTCATTCTGTCAAGCTTGATGTAGGCTTCACCTTTTTCACTTGCTGTACCTTTTGTAGACCTGATGTTCACCTTCAAGAAGTTACTTTCCATCTTTCTTAAATTGTCTTCTATATTCTTTTTATCTTTCTCCAGCATGAGATTGTTAAGTGCATCTTTGCAAGCTATGAAGGGAGCTACCACAAGTGAAACAGCAGACACAAACTGATGAAGGAGACTGTTTCTGCTAAGTAGGGATTCCACTTTGTGACACATCACTCTAGCTGACATACCACTAGCACTGCTAAAGTCATAATGTTGCATACTAATCCCAAATGGATAGTAAACAGCCTGAGGGTATACTGCAGCTAATTTCTCAACAATGGGTTGCAAAGCAGGACCAGGAGCTTTATCAACATAAATGAGAATGTGACTCAACCAGAGTAAGAACATCCAAACAGGTACCCTTTCTGATTCTTTCTTGAAGACCAATACAAGACTAGGATCTTCTTCCATCAAATTAATAAGGCGTGGGAAGTGGAAGTGTGCATCACGTGACCCTAGTGACATGGCCCTTAATATGTGTGTTACTAAAGATTCTGAGTATTCATTAACATTGACATGATCCTTCCAGTTTTCTAAGCAGTCTTCACAATACTTTGCTAAGACCATATGAACATTTTCCTTATCACAGCCTTGAGTGTCATCAAATTGAGGTAACTTTCCTTCAGCACATTTTACTGCTAGTTCAAGACTATTGTAGCTACATTTAAGAAGTTCACTGTACCATGAATCTCTTCCACTAGCCTTAGAAAATTTATCAGACAATACTTTCATGTACTGATTCTCTTCATCCCACTCATTTCCCATCTCCCGGATAGTATCACATATCTCATGACATATAGAGCTCTCTAGTTTCAAGTATTGTACCTCAATGCTAGCATTTTGCTCAAGCACTGGCATGCAACTAACTTTACCTAAGTATTTCCCCCAGCCTTCTACCAGGTACTGGAGCCGGGTGTCAAATTTGCCTCGTCCTCGGAGGATGTTCATCTCAGTCATCAGGAGATAGAATTGGGCCAATGAAAAATTATCTTCAGACAGTGGTTTTAGCTTTTTTAAATGCCTGGCAGCTAAATGATAATTGGTGTTTTGAAGAGCTGCCTTTACAACAGATCTATGAGCAGAGAGTTTTGCATCCTTGATGAATTGTGAAACATCATGTTGAGACTCCTCTGGTAATCCTTTTTCTAGACAATGGAGATAAAGACCACGGTAAGATGACAAGCACTGAATCAGAAGGGAAGTGTCTGTGGGGTTTGCCTCGTGCTTTTTCCAATTGGTGACTGTCTTTTTTACTTTACTGGAGTAGAAGTCACTCTCACTGTATTTGATAGTGTTAAAAAAATCATCAAGTTCTGTCAGCAGTTGAACATTGCGTAAGGTGGTTATGAGAGGCTTGGGTGTTAAGAGGGAATACTGAGCCATAGTGAGAAGTGTGCTGGACATAGCTGTATTCAGGTAAGACTGAGCCTGAGCAATTTTATCTTGGTTAGTTGATATCACAGCTAACTGAAGAGGCAAAGTTCCTTCTAACAATGCTTGATGGCGAGGCTCTTTCATGGCACTGTCAATAAAATCACAGAGTTTACCATCAGATTCTGCTCCATCTAAAATATTCATAAGTTTGGAATGTACTAAGGCAGGTAGAACTGCAGCAGTTGGTCGAGGAAGAAACCACACTCTATCCAATTTCACCTGTTCGTAGTTGTCTCGCAGAAAGCGTTGTTCCACAAAGTTTTCGAGCTCAGACCACTGACCAAGCGTCCCAGCACATGATGTATACCACTCTTCCCATATACGAACCTGAAATAAAATGCCTAATTAGCATATATTTTATTATCTTTAAATTTTCTCCATTTTAGTAATTTATACAGGAGAATGTGTTACTAGCCCTTTGCTCCCAGCATTTTAGTGGTCTTTTATGGCATGCATAGCTTACCTAGGACATACAGAGTGGAGAAAAATAGGATGACTAGGAGTGTGTATAAATCTGGGATGGAGGAAAGGAGTTGTAGGGGTCATCCAAGGAAAGGATGGTGGGGGTAAAGGAGGTTTGGAGTGCTAGGGACCTGAACATCCAACAAGCTTGTGTGAGCATGTTAGACAGGTGTAGAAGGGAAAGGGGAAAGGGAAAGGAAAGAATGGATAAAACATAAACATATTTTATTTCTTTGTGTAGCATACAAAGTGTGGTTAATACGTAATATTGTTAAGCACAAAGAAAGCCATTAACATGCTGTGTATATCAGGCAGAGATATGATGGGACAAGAAAGGGTGGGGGGGAAAAAAGGAAGGAAATAGAGGGAAAATTGAGGGAAAGCATTAGGAAGGAAAGAAGGGGATGAAAGATGGTAGGAAGGAAAGAAGGGAGGAATGAAAATACAGCAGGTTAAAGAGATAGGAATGAAGAGAAAGGGAAAGTTGGGGAAAGGAGAATCAATGAATGAATAAACAGAGAGAGGAAGGAAAGAAAGAATGGAAGAGAAGAAGGAATGAAGGAAAATGGAAGAGAGAAAGGAATGAAGCAAAAGGGAGGAATAAATGGATTTGGAAGGGTGATGGAGGGAGGAATGGAAAAGGGAAGGACATAAGGGACAAAATGAAGAGAGCAGAGGGAGGGAGGGAGGGAGAGAGGAAAGAGGAAAGGAGAAAGGGATGGAGGGGGATAAAGGGAGAAAGTGGAAAGAAGGATGGCAAGGAGACATGCAAGAGAAAAAAAAAGTGGTATAGAGAAGTGAGAAAGGGAGGGATAAAGGAAGAAAAGGAGTGGAATTATAGGAGGGATGAAAGAAGGGAGGAGAAAGGAAATACAGTGGAACCCAGGATTTTGTACGCTTTGGATTTAGAACACTTTTTTTTGGGCAAAATTTTGCTCTGGATTTTGTACCTCCACCCAGAAATTGTACATATTAGATGTGTCCGCCCGCCTGGGACGCATGTGTATGCGTCTCAGTCTGGCTCTGTCACTGGTCGAGTGAGCATTGCTTAGTGAGTTCCTCCAAAACATTTTGCAATAATCCATTTTTTTTTTGTGCTTAACTATTGAGTGCAACTGCGAAATAAGCCATCATGGGCCCAAAGAAAGTTCCAAGTGCCAGCCCTGTGGTAAAGGTGAGAAACATGATAGAATTCAAAAAAGAGATTGTAGAAAAATATGAAAGTGGCATACGTTTAGCCGAGCTAGCCAGGATGTATGGGAAGTTGAAATCAACAATCTCTTCCATCCTGGCAAAGAAAGTAGAAATCAAGGAAGCTAATGTTGTGAAAGGAGTAAATATAGTAAAGAAACAGAGATCACAAACAATCAAAGATGAGAATTTGTTGTTGGTGTGGATATAGTGTTGTCTAGTCGATCATTTGCAAAAAAGCAAGGCAGTTGCATGTGGATGTTGTAAAGAAAATGCCTGGAATTTAAAGCCAACAGTGGCTGGTCCAACAGATTCAAGAAGCGTAGTGGCATACACAGTGTTGTAAGGCATGGTGAGGCTGCAAGTTCAGACAAACATGTGGCCAAAGAAAAGGCACTGCCAGGACACAAGCCTATGAAGGATAGGTTAACTCTTTTGTTCTGTGGTAATGCTAGTGGGGATTTCAAAGTGAAGCCTTTACTGGTGTATCACTCTGAAAATCCCTGAGTATTCAAGAAAAACAATGTCGTCATGAGTAAATTGTGTGTGATGTGGAAAGCTAATAATAAGGCATGGGTCATAAGGCAAATTTTCATTGACGGGGTCCATGAAGTGTTTGGCCCAAGTGTGAAAAAATACCTCCAGGAAAATAAATTGCCACTCAAGTGCCTCCTGGTACTGGACAATGCTCCTGCTCATCCTCCAGACTTGGAAGACCAATTGTTTAGGGACATCAGTTTTATAACAGTGAAGTTCTAGCCTCCTAACACCACTCCTCTCATCCAGCCCATGGACCAGCAGGTCATTTCTAACTTCAAAAAAAACTCTACAGGAAACCAATGTTTCAAAGGTGCTTTGAAGTGACTTTGGACACTGAATTGACCCAAAGAGAATTCTGGAGATATCACTTCAATATCTTCCACTGCATAAGCCTTATAGGTAAGGTTTGGCAGGGAGTGACTTCCAGGACTTTTAACTCTGCTTGAAGAAAATTGTGGCCAGAATGTGTCCTCAACAAGGATTTTGAAGGGTTTGAGGCTGACCCTGATGACCCTGCGCCTGTTGTGGAATCTATTGTCTCTTTGGGGAAGTCCATGGAGTTAGATGTGAGTGGCCAGGATGTGGAAGAATTGGAGGACCACAGGAAAGTGCAACCACTGAAGAGCTGCAAGACCTTCATCTGGAACAGCAACAGACCAGAGCTGAGGAAATTTCTTCAGAGGAGGAGGAAGAGAGAGGGGAGAAGGTGCCTTCTTCAGTGACTAAGGACATTTGTGCAAAGTGGAATGAAGTGCAAACTTTGTGGAAAAATATCACCCCCGACCAAGCTGATACAAGCCATATCTGCAACACGTTCAATGACAATACCTTGTCTCATTTTGGGCAAATCTTAAAGAGATGCCAGAAATAGAGCTCTGGACAGATTTTTAGTGCGACAAGGGTCCAGTGCTAGTAAAAGACAAAGAAGGGAAGTTACCCAGATAGTCCTTATGGAGGGGGATTCCCTTTCCAAACAATTAGCTCTCCTCTCTCTTCCCTCCTCACCTTCTTCCATATGCCAACAAGAGTCTTCAATAAAGGTACGTAATAGTGATTTAAATATTCATTTATCCATTTCATTAGTGCTTTATATTTATTTCTCAAAGTTTTCTATATGTAAAACTATGGTTATTCTTTAAAAAATGTATTTTTTGTTTATATTCTTGAGTGTATGGAATGGATTAATTGTATTTACATTATTTCTTATGGGAAATATTACTTCGGTTCTCGTATGTTTCGGATTTAGACCGACCTTCTGGGATGGAATAAGTATGAAATCCAGGGCTCCACTGCAGGTTAGAAACTAAAGGAGAAAGGAGGGAGAGGAAGGGATGGAGGGGGATGAAAGAAATGTTGGGAGGGAAGAATAAATAAATAAATGAAGGGCAGAGGGAGGGAGGGAGCTAAAAAGAAGCAAGGGGGAAAGAAAGAGAAAGGGGGAAGAAAATAGAATTAAAGGGGATAAAGAAGCAATGCATATAGCAGTTTGAGCATTTGTATAATTTCATACTTTTTTTTTGGCCTAAACACAAACTGGCAGGGGTTAACCCTTTCAGGGTCCAAGGCCAAAATCTGAAGTCACGCACCAGTGTCCAAGGAATTTTGAAAAAAAAAAAAATTATTTTTTCTTACAGAATTAAAGAGCATATTTTTGTGAAGGTAATAAAACAAAAAAAATTAGAATCTGATCAGTACTTACCGAGATACAGTGCCAAGAAGTTTGTAGAAAATGATGTGGTGGCGGCAACATCGACGAATTCCACATACGCGTATTATATTATTTTGTTTTTTTTGTTGTTTTTTCTTTTCTTTTCCAATTTTTTTCTATTCCTACTAACATTTGGGGCCTGAGAGACCAATACTGTATATAATGTATATATATATACTCACTGTATTGAACACAATAACCGCACTAAAGTTATTATCATATTATTGTTTACCACTATTGTTTATTACAATAAACATGCACAAATATTGTATAATACTAATGTTCTATCATATATTTACATATTTACAATCACTGGACATGGTTTTAGAACTGCTGGAGCTTGTGGAACTCCTTGAAACAAGGCACCATGCACAGAGGCACCTTACATTCCTCACACATAAACCGAGTGTCTTTGCGTCTTTGTTGCCGTCGTTTTGTTTGTGCACAGACAATGCATCTCTTCTGAGCAAATTTCTTTTGAGTTGAAGGAAGCTGTATTATGAAATGATCACCTTCTCTCCCCAAACGCTTGGGTATATTGTGATGAATTCGAGGACCATGTTGTATTGCAGGTGTTGTTACCTGGTACTTCATTATGAGTTGTCTGACAACAGACAAACAAAATTCACCATACGGTGGTCTGTTACCAGTCTTTATTTGGTACATATTATATGCATTCAGCATTGAAATGTCCATGAGATGGAAGAAAAGTTTCATGTACCACTTGTAACTCTTACGAACACAGTCAACAAAACCAATCTGCATGTCACACTTGTCAACCAAGCGCATGTTTTGTGTATAATCAATCACTGTCACTGGTTTTCGAATACGTTCATTAGTCACTCGATCAACTTTGCCACTGTCTTGCATTTCATTACGGTGAATGGTTGTCAACAATGTGACATCTCGTTTGTCATGCCACCGTAATGCCATGATGTCATTGGCAGTAAACACCTGCACGTCATCACCACGAACACCTGCATTGAGCCTGGGCATATGTTTACGATTAGAACGCACTGTGCCACACACATCTGTCTTGTTCACTCGCATGAAATCACTGAGTAATGGGCTTGTGTACCAGTTATCGGTATATAATGTATGGCCCTTACCAAGATATGGTGCCATCATGTTTCTCACTACGTCACCTGATATACCCAATAACATCTTGGTATCTTTCAATGTTTTACTACCCGTGTATACAACAATATCCAACACCAGGCCACTGTCACAATCACAGAGTACAAACAATTTTATACCAAAGCGGTTCCTCTTGCTCGGTATATACTGCTTGAATGACAGTCTACCTTTGAACAAAATCAAAGACTCGTCAATTACAAGATTCTTGAATGGATAAAAGTATATGCTGAACTTTTGTTTGAGATACATGAAAACATTTCTAATCTTGTATAACCTGTCACTTCTGTCAGGCCTGGTTTTGTCAGAGAAGTGCAACATACGTAACAGTAAGATAAACCTGTTCACTGGTATTATTTCACTGAAGGATGGGGTACAAATTAGCCGATCTGTGGACCAGTATGCTTTTATATTATGCTTATAGACGTGAGGCATAAGCATTATTGTTGCAAAAAGCAAATACATTTCTGCAACAGTCGTCTCTTTCCACCTGTGTAGTCTTGACTGTGGTGATAGGATCGTATTTGCCATGGTGTACTGAAAATACTTATTACTTTCCCTGACAATAATTTCCATCAATGGCTGGTCAAAGAATAATTCAAAGAATTCCAGTTCATTGGCCGTGGTTCCAAGGGGACAGGTAGGTAGAATTCCACTTTGAGAGTCATCAAAGTGGTGAGGGCTGGGAACAAAATTGGGATTTTGCTGCCAATCCCAGATACGGTTTGCTGGTGGATACTGGACATCATAGGCTGGTTGAACGGGTGGTTGTGGCGGGCTCGTGGGTGACGCTCCGCTTTGTCCTTGAACTGACGAGTCAGCAGCGTGGGTCCCCGCGTGGAGCAGCGAGTCACGCATGGCGGTGCCACTACCACCACCAGCCCCACTAACACCATCCACTGATGTTTGTGGCCCATCCATGCCAAGTGTAGCCACATCATCCTCACTATCACTACCTAAAACGGGTGTAGGGCCACGGGATGTACTCCGGGATGTACTCCGGGATGTACTACGGGATGTACTCCGTCCCCTAGACACAGCATAGGGTACACTACCCGAGCGCATGCGGCGGCGAACATACCGACGCTTCACTGGTGAATATGTTTCCTCACTATCACTACTCGAATGATCGTCGAGCGCAATAAAATCACAATCCACGTCAGAATCATCGTCATTACTGAAGTCAGAGGCCAGGCCACGGGAAAATATTAGTTTTCTCTTACGTTTAGGAACACCCGACCGTGAGTCACGAGTGCCCACACCAGAGGTAGAAGGTCGAGGATCGTCGGGGTTTTCTGCACTATTATCGATATCCTGGTCATTCTTTTCGGTCACTAACTGATCAAAGCCGTAGAATTCGTCTTCATTTCCACTTCCATCAGTGTCAGAACTATCAGATAGGAAGAGGAGAGTCCCAATTTTCCGGGGAGTGAGAGCTGACTTGCGACGAGGCATGGTGAACAAGGGCGACTGAGCCGGCGTTCCCACAATGCTATGCAGGCGCCTAGATTTTTTGTTTATGGCGCACACCCACGGCGCAGACCCATTCTCTCATATGTAGGCCTATGAGCGCTTTCGCGCTAAATTTGACGGCGCTAGAATTTTGGCGTAGATCTACGGTTTGGACACTCACCGACCAGCCGTAGATCTACGGGACGGACCCTGAAAGGGTTAAGTATGTTTTGAAGAAATCAGCTCAAATATACATTATCTAGGTATGCATAGTGATCTGAGAGCCCGTCGTAAGTCCGAGTTATCGGTAAACAAGTACGTCGCTAAGTGAGGAGAGGCTGTGCTCCAGGAGTGTATGATACTCCATGAAACATGGATTCATACAGAGTGCCACCCAACATTGCTGACACAGGAATCATGTGTCCTTCTGCTGTTGGGGTCACCATGAGGTGTTAGCACACGAAACACACTTTTCTGAGAATATGTACTTCTTTTTTGGGGTAGGCGGTATTGGTATCAGGTAGTGACAGTTAGCGAGGATTCGGTCTGGCACTTTCCCCAGTGGTTGTGGTTGGGGGACAGGTTGTGGTGTGGCAGGTTGCTGTTGAGGGGCAGGTATAGGTGTGGTACCATGCTTTTTTGCTATCTGCTTGATGACATTTAGACTGAATTCTGCATAACGAAGTCATTTTCCAGTCTTTATTTCATACATATTGAAGGCATTCAGCATTGCAATGTGTACAAGTTGGAAAAACACTTTCATATACCACTTGCGACTCCTACACGCACAGTCAACGAACCGTGTCATCATGTCACACTTGTCGACTAGTAGCATATTGTTCGTACAGTCGACGACAGCAGCTGGCTTTACAATGCGTTCATTGGTCTCCCTGTTCACTTTGTCTGTTTGTACCATCTTGTTTCTGTGAATGGTAGACAGCAATGTCACGTCCCGCTTGTCATGCCATGTCAGTGCCATCATGTCATTGGCATGAAACACTTGCACTGCACCTTCAACACTGCCTCCACTGAACCTCGGCATATGTTTTCTATTTCTTCTCACTGTTCCACATATATAAGTATTGTTCACACGCAGGAAATCAGTGAGCATAGGGCTTGTGCACCAGTTGTCTGTGTACAATGTATTGCCCTTGTCAAACATTGACAACATCACTGGAAATGCTCAACATCCGCCTGTCATCATCAAGTATGTGTCTCCCGGTGTAGACAATGATGTCCAATACCATGCCACTCTCATAGTCACACATAACAAAGAGTTTTATACCAAAGCGATTATGTTTGCTCGGTATATACTGCTTGAATGACAGGCATCCCTTGAACAGAATCGAGGACTTGTCGACAAGAATGTTCTCGAATGGATAAAAATAGGCACTGAATTTCTGCTTCAGATACATAAACACTTCCAGAATTTTGTACAGAAGGTCATTTCTGTTGGGCCTATTCCTGTCTGAGAAGTGCAACATTCGTAGCAACAGAGTGAATCTGTTGCAGGGAAGGAGACCATGGAAGACAGGAATACTGATGAAGTAGTCTGTGGACCAGTAATGTGCTATATTGTGTTTATACGTATGAGGCATAAGCATGACAGTGCCAAGGAATAAATACACTTCGGCAACAGTTGTATCTTTCCATCTGCGCAGCTGTGATGATTCTGTAACATCTGTGTTGTCCATTATATAGCAGTAGTAATTGTTTGTCTGGGTGACAGTCAAGCTCATTAGTGGCCCATCAAAGTATAGCTGGAAAAAGTCTAACTCTGTAGACTCATTGGTGATGGGGCATTCTGGGAGGATGCCACTTCCACTGGCATCAAAATCGAAAGTATGTGGCATGAATGCTGTACTTTGTGTCCAGTTCCACTCATGGTCACATGGTGCAGGGTGACCTAAGGCATGGGGTGTGGGGGAGCAAGAGGGGAGACAGGAGTGGAGGCAGCACATGTGGGAGGGGGTGATGGGCAGTCCTTTGTCTGCCCACCCAATGCACCATGCGGGCCGGGCACCATGCCACCCACCACCACCACCTCCTCATCCTCCATCCCTGTGTATTCTCCTTCATTATCACTATCACTATCAGTTGCTGGGATTTTTGATCGGGACCTCCCATGACCCTTGGGCACTGCATATGGCACACAGCCTGAACGTTGGCGATGATGCCTAAAGGTACGTTTCACTGGGGAAAAATGTATATCACTGTCACTTGACAATTCATCTATGGGCATAAAATCAATCTTGTCATCACTTACATATCACTTTCACTCTCATCTTCACCAAAAATGACAGAATATGATAATTTCCTCTTGTGCAGTAGCCCGAGTTGTGACACTGGCAACCCCAGAGTTGATTGGCTGAGGGTCTTTTATGGCCCCACTGGCCACCTCAGAGGTGATAAGCCGAGGGTCATCTGAGTTATCATTAATATTTGCACTAATTCCTTGATCATTAGTGGCCACGCTGGTCTCAGATCCACTAAACTCGTGTTCTATATCACTTTCCTCAAATTAGAGAGTGTTAATATGCTGAGGCATGTGTGAATCATGAGGGTTTGCCATGATGTTGATCCAGGATGGAGCTGAAAGTAACTGGTGCTACCATGCGGTAATGCATGGTCCCCGATTTTCTTCATACAGCACAGGTCTATTGCGCTAAATTTGAAGGCAGGTAAAGTAAAACATAGATCTATGTTTGGAGTGCAAGTGGTAAGAACATAGATCTACATTTGGAGTGCAAGTGGTAAGAACATAGATCTACGTTTGGACAGTTAAGGGGTTAAATATTTAATAAAAATACGTAGATAAAGTAATAAGAGTCAGTTGTATGGCCTTGGGGAAAGTCTTGTCCTCCATGTTCAGAGAAAATAGCAGAACACTGATGGGCACCACTGTATATAAACAAGATAAAGTCATGGACTGCTAGACATCACACTGGTTTAGTTAAGAGGATGGGCTCAAGAGCTGGAGCTCAATAAACATTAATACAAGTATACAAAAAGAGAGGGATGAGATGGTTCTTTACTCTCTGGGAATAGTACTAACCTCTGCTGGTTCTGGATCTTCTTCCCAGTGTGTGTTGAGTGCTGTGCGATAATGAAGGAATGCTTGCACTGGGTTGTTCTTAGACTCTGCCTCAAGTGCTGCTCTTGTTGCTCCTTTTATGCTACCTAACTTTCCTTGAATGATGCCTCGCACCACATCCCACATATCCAGATTCTTATACAATCTGTAAATAAATTTTTAAAAAGCTATATTTTTGAATGAAATTATGTTATTACTGCATTTAAAATAGGTTAACCCTTTGACTGTCGCAAGCCCCTTTCTGAAACTGCCATTCTATGTCGTAAAAATTTTGGAAAAAAAAAAATTATTTTTTCCTTATGAAATGATGGAGAATCTTTTCCCGATGGTAATGACACCAAAAGTATGAAATTTGGTTGAAAACTCATGGAGTTACGCTCCCACAAAGTTATCGGTCTCGGCAACGTATACGCATCGGCAATTTTGCCGATTTTGAGCCCTATTTTTGGTCAATTCCGTTGTTCCAGTTAACCAAACTCATAGCTATTTCTTTAGAACTCCGTTTTTTTCTATCAGTTGAGTACAAGAACCGCCCATTTACCGATTTGAACTACCCAATAAAGTGGTCAGAAATTGGCAATTTGGCCAATTTCACACAAATTAAAAAAGATGCCAATTTTAAAACAGGTCCAGAATAAACAATGTAGACATTCTTGGAACTAAAATAACATATCCTCTATTCATTAGTCACATCTCTAGGCCCCTCTTATATTAGTATTGCTATTTTGATATTTTATTCATACAAAAAATACAAAATTTACCATTATGCAGACTACTGCATTATTGTAAAAATTATATAAATAATATCAGTGCACTAGTTGACGTGTATTGGACGTGTGGTGTGATTTGCTTACTCCTGAACATTTGTAAAAATTGAACATTTCTGCTACTTTGAGCTCAATTTCAAGTTCGTTTTCATCGTGAAACTAATCAAAATCATCTCTATTTCTGTAATATGTTTTCCATTTTATCATGTGAGACCATGAAAACGAGAATACAATGATAAATACTATACGAAAATACATACACGTCAAAGTCGGCGTTTTAATCCCAAAAAACGGTCAGTTTTTTTTCTCATCATGCACTGCGTGCTGCAGGATTTTTTTTTTATGTGGTGCACACTGACCATACAGACCCATTCTCTAACATGTAGGCCTACCAGCTTTCTCCCGCTTGATTTGAAGCTGCTAGAAATTACGCGTGTAAATAAGTCCGAAACAGTAGCGCATAAGACGTATATATACAACTGAAACAGTCAAAGGGTTAAAGGTGCATGAACACAATCTTAAGCTCAAAATGGGCACTGAAACTTATTATTCTTAACAAATCTTTTGTTTACCTTAAAATCAATGCATCATAACTAGAAATACATGAAAAACAAGGCGAGAAATCCGACGTACAAACTAAAGAGTGGTTTTACTGTGGAGACTTCCAACCCATTTTCGGTGTTACCAGACGAATGTGGATTGTCTACTGGGAACGTCACAACGAGCACCAAGGGAGCATTGGCAGACGTGAGTGAGGCATCCCTTGATACCCCAATGAAGACCATCAAGAACGTCACAACAAATTCCACAAATGAAGGTAAGAACATTGTTTTAGTTGGAGACAGTCAGGGTAAGTTTATGGATAGGGCCTTTTGTCGAAAGGACAGGAAGAGGAGGCACAGGGTATGTTTTCTTGGGGCTGGGATGGGGGATATTGTTAGCCGTCTGGACGACATCATGAAAGGTAATGGGAACAATCCTATTATCTGCCTCAGTGCGGGAGGCAACAATGTTGGCAGACGTAGGAGTGAGGACCTGATTAGCAGGTATAGGTCAGCAATAGAGATAATTAGGAAGAAGGGTGGGAACCCTGTCATATGTGGTATTTTGCCAAGGAGAGGAGTTGGAAACGAATGGTTGTCCAGGGCAATTGGTGTCAATTGCTGGCTGGACAAATACTGTAAGGAAAATGCGGTAACATTCATTGACAACTGGGACCTCTTTTATGGCAGAAATGACATGTATGCCAGGGATGGGGTTCACTTATCTAGGTCTGGGGTGAGGATTGAGACACTTATGCAGCATATGGGAATCTTTATTCAGGAAACGTTTCGCCACACAGTGGCTTCATCAGTCCAATACAAAGAGGAAGGCGTAAGGAGAGGAGGAGAATGAGGTAATCAGTCCCTCAACCTGGAGTCGATGTGTTCAGTCCATCAATCTTGTAGAATGTACAGCATAGGGTCGTAGACGTGGCTTATATACTGTAGTGAGGTGACGTGAAGCAGATGGAGGCGGGGTCATAGTGGTACCATCCACTAGTCGAAGTAGGTCTTCGTCCAAAGGTTGAACAAAGGTTGAACTTGTTCAACCTTTGGACGAAGACCTACTTCGACTAGTGGATGGTACCACTATGACCCCGCCTCCATCTGCTTCACGTCACCTCACTACAGTATATAAGCCACGTCTACGGCCCTATGCTGTACATTCTACAAGATTGATGGACTGAACACATCGACTCCAGGTTGAGGGACTGATTACCTCATTCTCCTCCTCTCCTTACGCCTTCCTCTTTGTATTGGACTGATGAAGCCACTGTGTGGCGAAACGTTTCCTGAATAAAGATTCCCATATGCTGCATAAGTGTCTCAATCTTCAACTTGTCGGTTTTTCAAACCATTCATCACATAGGTCTGGGGTGGGGGCACTGGCAACGGCAGTGGAGGGAGCTGTTAGGTCTTTAAACTAGGAATGGATAGTGGTATGGGCTTTGGCATGAATACAGTGAAGTCCCAGTGTAGTAATACTATGAGTTCTAGGGGAACTAGTAATAGGCAGAATAAGGTGGATATTAGAAAGCCAATGGCACTAGGCGACAAGGACAGTAATAGGTTTAGTGTAAAAACAGATATGAGCAGGAAGGGTAAAGAGAAAGGAGGGTCTTTAAAATTATATTATGCTAATTGCCATAGTGCTAGGAATAAGATGGATGAGTTGAGATTAGTTGCTAGTGCAGGTAACATTGATGTATTTGCAATCACTGAGACATGGTTTAATTCCAAAAGTCGGGACATGCCTTCGGAATGTCACATCCAGGGTTTTAAATTGTTCCAGTAGATAGAAATATCATAAGGGAGGGGGGGTGGCACTGTTGTCCGTGATCACTTGACTGTTGCATAAAAATGGGTATTAAATCTGAGGTAACACATACAGAGTCTGTCTGGATAGAATTTTCAGAGGGCATAAAAAATTGATTCTAGGAGTGATACACCCCTCCCCCAAACTTAGATAGGGACCAAGAAAATTTCTGTGGGAGGAAACTGTTAAAGCCCAAGGCACAATAATGTAGTAATTCTAGGGACTTTAACCTTAGTAACATTGATTGAAATTTCTGACTGGGAATTTGGAATCAAATGACTTCTTAGAATGTTCAGGAATATTTTTTGAAGCTTTTGTGAAAGAGCCTGCGGGAAAATAACCTACTTGATTTTTGGGCGGCAACAAGTAAACCTTTTTTAATAATTTAGAAATTAATGAGGAACTGCACAAGCGGTCACAAATCAATTACCTTTAGCATAGAAGGAAGTATGATAGGGACAACTCAAAACAGTTCCAGATTTTCGCTTAGCAGATTCATGGGCTTAGAGAAACACTTATCAACTGTGACTGGGGTAACGAAAAGAGCTATCAATATGACAGTTTTCTGAACACTATACATGCTGCTCAAAGAACGTTTATCCTGTAAAAAGAAATTAGATCAAATAGAAATGACCCAAAATGGATGAATAATAGGCTGAAATATCTACTAGGGCATAAGAAAGGAATTTATAGGCATATCAAAAAAGGTGAGGGTCATCTTATGAATCAGTATATTGACATTAAGAGGGACATTAAAAAGGGGATAAGAAAAGCTAAAAGGGACTATGAAATTAAAGTTGCTAGGGATTCGAAAACTAATCCAAAAAGTTTTTTCCAAGTCTATAGAACAAAAGTTAGAGATAAGATAGGTCCCCTCAAAAATAACTATGGGCATCTTACTGACAAAGAGAATGAAATGTGCTCGATTTTAAATAATTATTTTCTCTCAGTTTTTATACGGGAAGACACTAACAATATTTCAGTAATTAATTTTTATAGTGGGCTAGAAGAAGATAAATTATGTAACATCACAGTCACTAGTGAAATGGTTGTGAAGCAGATAGACAGACTGAAGCAAAATAAGTCGCCTGGTCCTGACGAGGTTTTTTCACGGGTTCTTAACCCTTTGACTGTCGCGGCCGTATATATACGTCTTACGAGGTACCGTGTTTGACGTATATATACTCATAAATTCTAACGGCTTCAAATCAAGCAGGAGAAAGCTGGTAGGACCACATGTGACAGAATGGGTCTGTGTGGTCAGTGTGCACCATATAAAAAAAAATCCTGGAGCACGCAGTGCATAATGAGAAAAAAAACTCCGACCGTTTTTTTTAATTAAAATGCTGACTTTGTGGTCTATTTTCGTATAGTATTTATGGTTGTATTCTCGTTTTCTTGGTCTCATTTGATAGAATGGAAAACATATAGAAATAGTGATAATTTTGATTGATTTTACTATAAAAAGAACCTGGAAATGGAGCTCAAAGTAGGGGAAATGTTTGATTTTTGCCAATGCTCAAAAGTAAACAAATGATGTCATTGTCCAATAAATGTCCAACTAGCCATTCTAATATGCAGTCATGAATGGGTTGATGTTATTTATACAATTATTACAGTATTGCAGTAGTCTGCATAATAATAAGTCTTCTGTTTTTTGTTTAAATAAAAATTCAAAATAGAAAGCAAGAGTAATATCAGAGGGGCCTGGAGACATGACTGATGAACAAAGAAAATGTCATTTTAGAGCCAGGAATGTCTGCATTGTTCATTCTGGACCTTATTTTGAAATTGTCATATTTTTTAATTTTCGTGAAATTGGCCAAATTGCAAATTTCTGACCACATTATTGGGTAGTTGAAATCAGTAAATGGGCAGTTTCTTGTACTCAATCGATAGAAAAAATGGAGTTCTAAAGAAATAGCTATGAGTTTCGTCGACTGGAACAACGGAATTAGCCGAAAATACAGCTCAAAGTGGGCGAAATCGCTGATTTGTAAATATCGCCGTGGTCGCTAAC